ATTATGAAGCCAGAGGCAGAGGGTAAATCTGGCTGGAAAATTTCTCCCCTCAAATTGTAGAAGATGGAACATGAATTTCATCTTGCCTGTAACAAGTGGAGATGTGGCTATTCTGATTTGCGAAACAAAACCCGTAATTTTCATGTATACCCTCTTGTTTTTCAACATGAAGAATTGCAGTCCCTTGAAATGAAAAATGATTATTACAACACACACGTACTGTCAAATAACACCTGATCAGCAAACAGATCTTGTTTTCCCATTTCCTCCATCTCCTTCCACTGTATGCACATGGCAAGCTCTGTAAATTGGTTATTGGCTTAGTTTTTTCCTGCATTGAAGTGACTGCTTATATACCATTAGAATTTGTGTAATTTAAAATTTACCCAAGCATTAGTTGATATAGAGGACCGACTATGTTTGGAAGCTGGCTCTTACTTACTTTCGGAGATCAATCCTGCTATCTGTGTGTACATCAAAATTATTTCACACTTGCCTGTTGACTTTTCTTCCTCCTTTATTTGTTCATCGATGTGCAAGTTAATCTTCATAGACAACATCCCTGGTCTCACCAAAAGCATCCTTTGTTAAATATATCCTAATACATCAGACTACTACAGTTTATATAAGACAATTCCTTGGGTTTGCATCCTAATCTTTTGGAAAGTTTGCTGAACTTAATGTGGTTTGCATTAGTCTCTTCAGTTGTCATGCTATTATTACATCAGTAAATACGTTAAAATTCAAACACTGTTTTATTTTTGCTTGACTTAAGTTTCTGTTTTCTGCTTTGCTATAGAATGTTTTTTTTTCCGACAAATATTTACCAGACAATAACCTACGGAGTTGCTCCTTTGCGAGCAATGTAGCCAATGAGATGTTTTCATTGCATTTAGTTTCTTCTCTTTTTGGTGGATTGGGTGAGAATTTATTTTGTTCAAAGCAATGATTCATCAGAACCTTTCTTAATCTAGTTTCTATTTTATTTGTTTTTAAACAGGTATTATTGCTTATTGCTGCCCTTGACTCTTCCAGTTTTGGTTGTTGCTGTATATTTGCATTGGCTCAGCATGAAACTTTTCAGGCATGCATAACTCGATCCCATTCCTCATGTCTCATTGTTCTTATTCTTCTACAATCAAGTGCACTTGACAAGGTGGAGATGTATAACTCTTGCTAGGCAAAGGATGCAAGTTAAAAAAAAATTCTAGCATAAAAGAAATTTAAGTATACTGGTAACAGGTATTAAACTCTGCTAAATCATCGCTATATAAGTATTGGTAAAAATTTAGCTGAAGCTGGAGAATAGAACGATGCAATCTAACATGATTGCGTTTAAATAAGCAAGGAGAGGATGTTTCTGGTACTATCTTTGAGATGCGCAAATGTTTTGGGTGAGAAAAAGAGTTGATGAAGGGAGTCGCCAGAGCTGAGATTTGTTGTTGTACGGGCTCCTTTGATTCTTTGGTCGGCGGATTTACTGATGGAGACCCTCCTACAAATCACTGAGGAAACTGTTAGAAGGCACCGATGCCGGACACCCCGATGACCCTCTGATGCTTAAGTCAGTGATTTTAGGAAGATGATAGTGAAAATCCATTCAAAGTTTAGAATGAAATCAGACTTATATTTCTTTACTAATGTTACCTCTATTAATGCTAATTTGGAGGGGTAAATCGGGGAGAGAGGGAGGACTATGTGGCATCTATCTGGTCTACTCAGCTAAGTCGTATGGAAGCTTCCTGCGTAATTGAATTGTCCATTTGTCCCTCTGGTGTTGGCCAAGGTAGTTAGGATGTCTAGAGAGGCCGTGGAGAGAATCATTTTGATGATTGTAATGCCGCCCTCATGTGAGTTAATCATACCATGTCACGTGAAGGGAAAGTGCGGTCGTCTTGCCTTGGCGAGCAGGGTATTTGGGCGCAGCTCAGACAATTTGGTATAACTTTGGACGAGCAGAGGTCGATCCACCTTAAACAAGGGATGGGTGACCATGCCGCCCGAGACATCATCAACTCGTTAAGTCTGTGTGTTCATGCTGTTCGGCTCTGTGTCCGGACTCTTAGTAAGACACGAGACATTGTCTTGTTGGCAGTTTTTCAAAGCTCGGTTTTGTGGCATAACAATAATATTAGATTTAAACGTGTTTCTTCATTAAAAAAAATTGCTGTATCTAAATGTTGGGAAATTAATATCAAAGTCAAGAATGGGCGCTTGAAGATCATCTTGGAATTGGAGATTAGAATGTTGCCTTGCAAGTGTTTAGCTCCACATTACCGAGCTTTGAAAAACTGTTCTTGGGGTTATATAATTCTTTGACAATTGTTCCTGTATCGGAGATTCTAAGAATTGTATCGACTGGTGTTGGGAGTTGTCAAACACATTGTGGATGAGTGAGGGTTTGACTTTGTAGATTGTTGAAAATGTGAGAGAGAGAACTCTCTCCTGTATTTTGTACTTATTCTCTCGGTCGTTTTATCTGTGAATGTAGGCTTAAGCCAAACAATTCGTTAATGTCTCATGTCTTTAGAAACTACGAAGTTCTCTAGCTTGTGATGGAGGGAATATCAACGGAAAATTTTTCTGTTGGCATTCTAGCAGAACTAGGTGATCTCCTTTATATTAACGGCAGAAGATAACTCATTAAAATTGAAATAATTCAAAACGTCAAAGCGAACAACAACTCTTGATAAACACTTGCAGCTTCTTTATTGGTTTGTTACAAAAGCTTTTCGTTTCTTTGTAGTCTTTTTAATGTGAGGCGAAGACCTCAAGAAAGAAACTTAGCATTGTGTGTATCTCTCAAGTCAAGAAGAAAAATACAGCGAAATTCTCCTGGGAATCTAATAGAGACTCATTAGAGCATAACTCTTGCAACTTTTCATGAACCAAAACAAACTATATCTTGGATAAATACAAATGCAAACTGCCATAATAGTTACCGGAACATGAAAGGTTCTAACTACTTCTAAGAAGCAATTTTACGTGAGGAACTCATGATGTATTTTTGAATTATTCACATCTTGCATGTTGTATATGATAACTAGTCTTCCCCACGAGACTAAGGGTCAGTTTGGTGTTATTAGAGCCTATAATAAGTTGTAGATAAACAGTTTATAGAAACAACTTATATAAGCCGTTGAAAATAGCTGTTTCGCGTCATATATCAAAAGCTGCTTCCAAAAATAGCTAAGATGTTCGACAAAATCTTGCTTAAAGATTATTATAAGTGAAAATAACTAAAATAAACATAAGTTTAACTTCATATTTCTCAATAGTAAAAACATTGACAAAAACTAAATGATATATATAGCAGAAAAACTACAAAAGGCAGAAGCTGCTTTTAAAACATTATCATATTTCTTTTAAAACATTATCATATTTCTTTTAAAAGCGTATCTTTAAAAGCAGAATCAGTTTTAATGAGGATGTAAAAAAAAGTTTTACCAAACACGACTAATATCTTCTTCTTTAAAAAAAACAAGGAGAATGTCCTAAAAAAAAATAATACCAAACTGGACCTTAATTGTACAAAGTTTCTGTAATCATATTTTCAAAAAAATTATGATTTCTATAGTTTTATTTTTTTCGCTCTAAGTTATAAGTAGAAGTATTATTAAAATAACAATTGCAAAATGTATAATTTTTGTAGGATTCCAACTTCCAATCAAGGTTCAGAAGAGGTAAGGTGGAGAAAAGGTCTTCCTTATAAAACGTAAAACGGCTCTTTTCAAAATATTTCCCCATATCAATTGTTCCCTGGACAAATTTTTGAAAACAACCATTTCTTCAAAATTAATGAGCAAAATCGACCTTTTCACAAAAAAAAACAGCAAAATCGACTCTTTTCATCTCAACTCAAATGAAAAGGATCGATTTTGCTGCGGGTAGTTTTTTGAACTACACGGGACTACTAGTCCTGTGTATTTAAGACATGCTAATCGAGGATTAGCATGCCAAACCAAATGGACGGGACTAGTAGTCCCGTCCATTTCATGTCAAAGCTCATCTACGTCGATGTCTCCCCCTTCGGAGGATCAAGTACAAGCCTTGGCCTCTCACGCACATCACGATCCCCAACATTCAACATCATCCTCCCTCCTCCTCCTCCTCCTCGAACCCATCTATCCAAATCCGATGATCCAGCTGCTGATTCACGAAACCAGATCCACAAACCAAAATTGATCTTGCCGTCATATTTCACAACACTAATCTTAGTGTTCTGAAAACCCACTTGAACTGTGCCTGTCATCTTGCTGCTTTCACCAATTACTTCACCCATAATCACAACTTCCAAATTGTAGAGAAAGATCCAAACTTTGAAAGAATAAGAAATTACCCAACTGAACCCTAGATTGGATTCCAAATAGAACTCCTAACCACACGAGGAAAGCGAGATCTTCAACGGCAACTTCAAACCCTAACTCCACCAAAGCCTAGAACTCCAAGAACCAAGCTTCAAACTGAATCTTCCTCCACCTAATCCAAAACCCTAGATCTGAATCTGGGCTCTGATACCACTTGTCGCGCGCCTATGCGGAAGCCTTGCACGAATTCACAACGAACCTGTGATCACGAGTAGAAGAAAGCCAAACTCTTGCACAAATCCAACCAATAACGCCAAATTAATCCAAACACAGAGATATACGTGGTTCGGCAATTTGCCTACGTCCACGGGGAGAGGATGGGGAGATTTCACTAATTCAAGGAGAGTACAAAGGGTTACAATCACACAAGAACTCTCAAACTAACCCTCAACCAAAGATCTCACCTTGCCCACAATATCTCCCTCTCACAATGCTCAAAAGATTCCTTAATCTCTGATATCAAACCCTCTCAAATCGTTTCCCTATTTATACCAAAACAAAACCCCAATTAGACTGCAAATAGGAAACCTGCGTATGCAAAAAACCCGTCGTAAGTCGACTTAACAGAGCTCACAAGTCGACTTGACAGAGAGAAAATCAACAACTGGAGAACACTTCATAAGTCGACTTAACAGACTGTTAAGTCGACTTGCCATAAGTCGACTTAACAGTCATGCTAAGTCGACTTGACAGAGGCTAAAATCACAATTCGGCTGCAGATCGTAAGTCGACTCGTGCACAGTGCATGAGTCGACTTATGCCAGTTTTTCTGGTTTTTCTGATTTCTCCACAAATATAAGAAAGAAAAGTGAAGAAAGTACTTCTTGGTACGTAATGCAAATTCCAAACCTTTGAGTGGTTTATGATTATTTTATCCAATCTTAATCCTTATTGGTAGTGTAAATTCCAAAAGCTCGTTTTGTTTTGGGTTGGTGGGGGGCGATCAAGGTACCCGGCCCCTAACTTAAATGCAGCTCCGCCACTGCATGCATAGAGCTCAAAGCATGATTCCCTTGTAAATTTACTATTTTTTTTATTTATTTATTTTTTTTTTACACAAATGTCATTGTTGTGAAATTTCTCCCTCATGGTCTTATTTGTTAGGGCGAGCTCCTGGTATTAGCAAACGTGGGGGATTCTCGTGCTGTACTGGCAACAATTTCTGATGATGGGTGCTTGGTTCCTATCCAGCTTACCACTGATTTTAAACCAAATTTAGTTCGTAGGCTTCCATCTCTTCATGAATCAGTAAAACAATTATTTGCATAAAAAACTAACCATTCTATTTTACTAATAAATACCCTTCTATTTTTTTTTTTTTGTAATTTATAGAGGAGGCAGAGCGTATAAATGAATGTAAGGGACGGGTTTTCTGTTTGAGAGACGAACCCGGAGTTCACAGGGTTTGGCTACCGAATGGTGAAACTCCTGGATTAGCTATGTCAAGAGCTTTTGGAGATTATTGCATCAAGGATTTTGGTCTCATATCAGTGCCTGAAGTAACGAAAAGGATGGTTACTGACAGAGATCAGTTCATAATTCTGGCAACCGATGGGGTATGTGAACTCAAAATTTATTTTAAGTGCGATTATTTTCATAATTTAGCAACATTTTTAGTTGGGTGTAATATTAAACCGTTAGTAATGATTTTAGGAATGGTCTTTGCCTACTTTCAGGTTTCCTATACCATTGAAGTATAATATCACTAGTAGAAAAACGAGCAATCTAGACGGAAATTTCCGTCTAGATTGCTCCATTTCCCGTCTAAGTTGATACACCTAGACGGAATTCCGTCTAGTTTGCTCGGTTTAATCTGTTTCCGTCTAGATTGTGGTAAACTAGACGGAATTCCGTCTAGGTTGACCAACCTAGACGGATATCAACCTAGACGGAAGTAGGAAATCCGTCTAGGTTGCAACCTAGACGGACATCCGTCTAGGTTGGCAACCTAGACGGAATTCCGTCTAGGTTGCTACAGTAGCAACCTAGACGGAATTCCGTCTAGATTAGCAATCTAGACGGATTGCTACAGTAGCAACCTAGACGGAATTCCGTCTAGGTTGCTCTGCTACAGTGTTTTTTTTTTTTTGGCAAAATTTACGTTACACGCTATATAATATCACATGTACACAATATAGCACAACACCAAATCATGTTCATATCCAACACAATCGATCTAATTATATTTCAATATCAAATATAATTATATTCAAATAATACATTCACCAAAATACTAGAAAGGTGCATAAATTTTTTACATAGATTGATTATAAAGAATACAATTGTTTACATAACTTAATGAACTTTGCATAATTTATAGAATCCAATTGCATTTACTCCTCCAAGTTGTTGAAGCATCATGTTTCTTCCTCCTTGATCCTACATTATACAAAATTCAACATCAATTAGTCCATGCCATGAAATACACTTAGAAAACATTAACTTTGAAGAGAGGCTAAATGAACAGTGTCAGTCTCCTTCAGAGAAAATACCACGGCGTTAAAGTAAAAAAAAAATAAAACGCAATTTGGGTCGCTTCCTTCTCCTTCATTAACGGGCTCCAGCTTCACCGCAAACAAGGAAATATCCTATAATACTTAAACCCAATAAGAAAACTTAATTGTTGAAGCATCATGTTTCTTCCTCCTTGATCCTACATTATACAAAATTCAACATCAATTAGTCCATGCCATGAAATATCTTCAAAGTACAATTCTCAATCCAACACAAACCAAATATAATCCCCAACTTTAACCTAAAAACGCTTTTAACATCCCTTTCCCTTGCTTACAAACAAAGATCCCAGCTACACCCTCTAGAAAGCAAATCAAGCCCACAAAATTAACGAACAGAAAATATGAAATGCAACATCAATTAGTCCATGCCATGAAATACAAAACTCTAGGGAGCATCGTCGATTTAGGGAGCATGCATAACAAAGATGCAACTCCTCAATGGGAGAGCACGATATGAATCTACAACTATAATAAAGAATAAGGCATATTCACAAACGCCAGCAACCATCAGTTATTAACTCAATGGTTATTTTCAATAATCTTCAAGTGACTGGCAATTACAGTTCTACCAAGAAATAAGTAAGGTGCATCATTATCAGAAAGGCACACAATTATCTTTCTATCAACATCAATATAAACAATATCGATCATAAGAAAGTATGTGCAATTACAAATTTGGCAATAAAACACGTGAAACCACTAAACATATGGAGGTAATCTTCTCTTTACCAAGTTCATCTCATTACTCAAAAGTTACATAGCATAAAAAAAACCATTGAAAAAAAGTATGCATGATGAATACAATAGATACCTCCATGACAAGAATCCTCACTTTTAAAGCATCAGTATTGTCTGGGTCAGCAATTAACTCAAGATCTTGCCATGAGACACTCAGCTCTGTCATGTAAAAGTTTAAAGATTCAAGATCTGAATTATTAATGGCTAGCGCATGAAGCCACTGGAACCAATATTGAGAATTTACTGTAAAGGAAAATATGTCATCGACACAGTGTAATACAGATACTAGCTAGCAATTGTTTTCCTACACACAAATTTAACAATCAGAACCAACCAGTTAGATCAAATAAATCTAGCCCATATGTTTACCTCCTTGTAGAGCAATGAGCTACTTGTGGGAACTCCCAAGAAGAGCCATGTCAATCCATTGAACTGAAAAAGGGGAAATAGCTAGGATTTTAACTTTCAAATATATGCCAAACTTTTAATGAAATAACTAAACACTATTTAAATAAATAAGAAGAAACACAGCTCTATTAATTGATATAGCGAAGACCTGCAGGATTGACAGCAAAACCACATTATCCAATAATCTAAAGCTATTAGGCGAAAGCATTTTGAATATGACTTGACTCAACCATTTTAAGTACTCATCCAAATACAAGTAAGCAGACTAAAACATGAGTAAAGAATGGGGAAGACATCAAAGAGACTAGTCCACATAAATTATTATTACTATCTTTGATTACATGTTGAGTATTACCTTGTAATCATCATGCTTCTCAAAGAACATTTTCCATAAGAAACTACGGAATGGAGCAATTCCGGTTCCTGTTGCAAGATGCAAATCCAATAACAGAAATGTTCACAATTTTTTTATCGAAATAAATAGATTACTAAAGATAAATAAATGAAATAATAATACCATTATAATAGTTGCATTTGGATCTTTGGGCATAAGCATTTCTTTCCCAACCGGTCCTGTAATCTTCACTTCAGCTCCCGGCTTCATGTCACCTGCAACACATTAGCATAATGAGACATCTTGAATATTATCAACCTAATATTCAAACACTAAAGCATAATAAACTTCACAAATAAACTTATAAACAAGTTTGTACATATGAAATTTGAGCAAACCCCCTTAACAATCTCTCCCTGATCATTGGTATAAACCAACCTCCTAACACAAAGAGAAACCTGCACAAAACATGTTTACTCTCAATAAATCCTACAAACAACATGACAAGTAATTATGAATTGAACAATCAAGATTTTGATATCAAGATTTTGATATCAATCAGAGAAAAAAGAACTTCCCCTAATCGACAAAAAAACAAATTAAAAATAGATTTCAAAAGCTACCAGCATCATAATTAGATTATAATCCTTCAACAGAAAAACCGAGCTATCACTAAGAACGCCTATCACACCAATTTCATTTGCCCTGAGCTCAAACAACTATACTAGTAGAAAGAAATACAAGCATCATGATCAAATCAGCAAATATGGGATTCTTTACGATACATATGGGTTTAGGGACAAAATCAAAATCTAAGTTAATATAGAAAATGCAAATTAAGGAGGAGGTTGGGAGAACTGACCAATTTCACATAAAAAATGAATTTGAGTGATTCTAATGTAATAAGGGAAAATAGAAAAAGAAAAATTAATAACCATGCAATCGAAAATCAAACCTGGAGAGGGCAACGCCGGCGGTGGAGATGGAGGAGGAGGGGGGATGAGGAGGATCTCGGCGCGGCGGGAGAGGGATCCGTCGGGGTTGAGGGAGGTCTGGAGGTTTTGGTGAGCGGCGGCGTAGAGATGAGAGAGAGAGCGGGAGGGATTTGGGGGTTCTAGAGAGAGAGGGGGTTTGTCCTGGTTGGGGATTTTTAGACGGAGAGGGGAATAAAAATAGGCGGGGAATGAAAAAATAGGCGGGCAAATGAAAAACCTGGGGGAGGATCCGTAAATTTTTTTAGGTAATCTAGACGGAATTTCCGTCTAGGTTGATGCAACCTAGACGGAAATTCCGTCTAGGTTGAGTATTTTATAAAAAATTAATAAAAACCGTCTAGTTTGTCAATCAAGACGGAAATTTCCGTCTAGATTGATTCAATCTAGACGGAACAAACTAGACGGAATCTTTTCCGTCTAGTTTGCCTCAAACTAGACGGAAAAAAATTCCGTCTAGTTTGTTCCGTCTAGTTTGTTCATTTTTCTACTAGTGTATATAATTGAAGTACAAATATACAAAAACAATAACAACAAAGCCTTTACCTCGAAATTTTCGGGTTGGTTTTAGGAATGGTCTTTTCCTACTTTCAGGTTTCTTATTAGACAGAATTTACATGTAGAAGTTGGAAATGAATAATTCTATACCTAAGTATACAGTACCTGTTGCGCGCCTATGCGGAAGCGTGCACACAAAGAGTCGGGAAGAAGAGAACCACACAAGTGCAATCCAAACCAAATATGACAAATCAAATCACAAACACATAGATATACGTGGTTCGGCAACTTGCCTACGTCCACGGGGAGAGGATGAGAAGATTTTACTAAATCAAGGAGAGTACAAAGGGTTACAATCACACAAGATCACTCAATCTAACCCTCAACCAAAGCTCTAACCTTGCTCACAATATCTCCCTCACACAATGCTCAAAAGACTCCTTAATCTCTGATAAAAAACCCTAAAGAAAACGTGTTTTGATTATATATCAAAACTCAATCCCAAAGCGAACAGGAAACAAAGCCCAAAGCCCAGCAGCTCTCGCGGTCGACCGCGGCAGTCGACCGCGACACGCGGTCGACCGAAACCCCTCGACAGAAACTTAAATTCCTACAGGGGTTTGGGCGGTCGACCGCGCCAAGCCCAGATGCACACCCAGCCTCCGTGCATGTTTCCAATCAACCGCGCATGTCTCGCGGTCGACCGCTGGGTGACCAAAACTGTTTTCCTGCTGTTTTTCTCCTGTTTTGCTGTTTTCTCTTCAGTACTTTCATTATGTTCATATTTTCGGGACATAACAACATTCTCTGCTGTTTCTCATAATTGGCATAACTTGGATTAAGAAGAATTTAGTCAATATAGATATGGCAGAGAAAAGTTTGATCAATTCGAAAACAAAATTCACCTTTATAATAGTAAACGTAAACCTCAAATTATATGCATTCTTTTTGTTTCAGGTTTGGGATGTGATCTCGAACGAAGAAGCAATTCAGATAGTTTCTTCAGCCATTGATAAAGGAAAATCGGCGAAAAAACTCGTCGAATGTGCTGTTCGTGCTTGGAAACGTAAGAGGAGAGGAATAGCAGTCGACGACTGCACGGCTATTTGTCTCTATTTCACACATTCTGCTGATCACTTGTTAACTTCCGGTGCAAACCATTGGCAGTAACATACGTAGTTCATAAATTGCATAATAAAAATTTTCAGCTCTATTTTTTTAAGTAATTTTTTTGTTTATAATTGAGAAAGCAAGTATTTTTAGTAGTAGGGGATCAAGGGTTCAGAATCATAGAGCAGCAATGCAAAAAATAGGCACCCAATTTGGGGAAACTATTTCGAATATTTTAAAATTCTTTTATTAATCTGTAGATGTTCTTCTACTTTCCAACAGCTAAGTGTTAGAAAACTCCCCTTTAACTCTGGATGATTACCCGATAACCCCCCTTAACATTTAAAATATCACGAAACCCCGCTTATTGGGATTATCAGAACAACCCTTTTTAACTTTTAGGAAACCCCTTGAAAGGATGAACCTCAATTTTCACAAACAAAAGTATCCCCCTACGTGCTTTAAACTGTCCATGTGAAAATTGAGACTAACTCTGTCTAGGGAATTTCTTGATAAAATGTGTCATTGCTTGTAGACTGAACTGCATATAACTTGAGCTTCACTGTGAGCCATCTCGAATCAAAATCAATTAAGTTTTTAAGATATCTAAACTCGGGAGGATATCAGTTCAATTTAGATGATAGTATGCTCATAATATTATAGCTTAGATAGTGAAACAACTAGAAATACTAATGTAGAAAGAACCAACTATGGGTAGGAATAAAATGGATGAGTGATAGATAAACCATCATTTGCGATTGTTTTAAAAAGTGTAAGATCGTAATTTTACAAGGAAAGATTTTTTTCTCTTTTCTCTTTTATTTATTTCTAGAAATTCCCTGTAATTTTACAAGGAAAGATTTGTTTATCTTTTCTATTTCCTTTCTTTTTAGAGCATTCTATACCATTCAAATATCATGAAAAAAGATGGAGCCTACATAATTGAATATCTTTTTAATATTTTATGTTATAAAAGATACAAAGAGAATAAATATCTATAAATAAAAAGACAATATTCTAAGCATATATCTATGCTATAATTTATTTACACTAACATACAAAATAATGAGGACAAGACAATTAGAGGAGGATTTCAAGTTTAAATAACGAAGGTAAAAGCTCTTCGAAAATTAGATGTCCCTTGCTATCTCCTCTTATTATTAAGTTTGGTTAGGGTATTTTATGGAAAAATTTTGAGAAAAGTTCTGACAGTGGCAGTTTTGCAAATAGGAATTTCTCACCATTTTCATAAACTGTGTTTGGTTCAACCTTAATTTACAGAAAACTTTTCTATACAGAAAATTGTACAATTTTATAGAAAATGTTTTCCACTAAAAATGAGTGGAAAACACCCAAAAATCTGACACACTCATTATTATATTATTTAACCTACTCCCTAACCATATTTCCACCCCTCAATTGAGCGGAAAACTTTTCTTTTGGCCGCCATAAGTCGGAAAATCCTAGGGCATCCTCATTCGTTCCCGCCCCCAAACCCATTCTCCCGCTCTCGTCGTCGATTATTCCCGTCCCCAAACTGCTTTATCTCTTCGTTCGTCGGCGTTCTAGGGCTTCGCCCTTCGTTCCCGCCCCTAAACCAGTCTTGAGCACTTGAGGTTTCCTTACCTCGAGCTCTCGTTGTCGATTATTCCCGCCCCTAAACCCATTCCTTCCTCCTTCGTTCGTCGTCGGCATTCTAAGGCTTTGCCCTCCGTTCCCGCCCCCAAACCAGATTCTAGGGCTCGATATTTCCTTACCTCGAGCTCTCGTCCTCGGCTGTGACCCCCCTGGGTTCACACAAGGCTGCAGTCCAAGGTGAAACCAAGAATGTCAAACCTACCATACACTACACCGTGCAATAACATGTTTCACCATCACAATTAATATCTCTCTAGTAGAGTCAAATAACAGGTGTAGCAATAACATGTTTCACCATCACAATTAATATCTCTCTAGTAGAGTCAAATAACAGGTGTAGGTACAAAAGCAAGTAAAAGATAATACAAGAGTCAACACAGGTGTAGGTACAAAAGCAAGTAAAAGATAATACAAGAGTCAACTGATGAAATAATAGAGATCAAAGTAATACTTCATCATCTAACATACTAAAGTACAAGTCAATGTTAGAAGTAAATAGACTAGAATTTCTCAACAAGTCTCAAATACAAATGTCTGAATAAAAGGAAATAAGGCACACAGCCTTTACAACTTCGAGAATAAACTCTTATAATGTCTAAACAAAGCCTACAGTGGAGCTCAAAAGTAAAATATAACTATAATAGAATAGCTGAAGCTAAAGTGCCTCACCATCAACCTGCGACTCTCCGGGCTCCTGGTTCGTTACTTGAAAGGGGGAGGGACAACGAGCGTCAAAAGCGCTAGCAAGTAACATCACAACCAACCCCAAGGGAAAGGGCTCGTTGTATACAAAAAATACAGATAATACATATATATATGAAATCACTGATCCTATATAGGTCATTACAATGTGAGCATAAGTACGTCGAGCGAAATAATCCAAACAAGGAAACCCTCATGTATATACCATGTAGCTCAGATTGTAAGTACCTATGTATAAGAGGATTTTAGTATTTAGGAAGTTACAACACGAGCATAGGTACGTCGAGCGAAATAATCCAAACAAGGAAACCCTCATGTATATACCTTGTATCTCAAATTGTACATCCCTAAATACCAAACCCAAAATCTAATACAAGAAATATTAATAAAAGAAGGCAAACTCATCTCAGACTTAATTACGATGTCGTGTCACAACTCGTATAAATGTCGTATCCAGCCTATGTAAGTGTCAGTGTAAACTCTCAAGGTCTAAACTGATGTAATGGGTGTCCAACACATGGACTGCATATAAAAACTGTCCAACACATGGACTGAATGTGATAAATGTCCAACACATGAACTACACATCATAATTGCCCAACACATGGACTAGATGAAATATATGAACAGGTGCACATACCCTATTTTCTCACGTGTCTCGGTACTAGATGAAATATATGAACAGGTGCACATACCCTATTTTCTCACGTGTCTCGGTGCGCAAACCTAAACTAGTGTTAGCATGTCATCTCACATATAATGATACATGTTATAATAAACTTCTAATACTCGTCATTCAAGGCGACTGCTCGTTCATATTAAAGCATGCAACAACAATAAACAAACATATACAGTTTCAGTGAAACTGAAAAGGAAACTCAAACAGATCCAAACTGAAGAAATACTAAAAATCTCCTCATTAGTCGACCCATGAGTCGACTATGATTGGTCGACTCATTGGTCGACCAACAAAACACAAACTAAAGTTTTCCCCATCAGTCGACTCATTGGTCGACTCATTAGTCGACTCATAAGTCGACTCATGAGTCGACTCATTGGTCGACTGAGCAGAAAATCCCCAGTTTTCTGTTTTCGAAAATTTTCTGCAGAAATTTATAAAACTAGTGTTCTCTTTGATCATGTCCAGCAATATATATCCGATTCTAACACATGTATGTCAACAGAAATGAAAGATTTGCATGTAATATTTTGCATTAAAACCCTAAACATATTTCCTCATGTTTAAAAACGTATTGAAACCATTAAATCACAATAAAAATCATGTTTAAACAAAGTCCAGATCTGGATCTTAATTATAAATTCGTTTGTGAGCTTTTATAAACTGAAAACATTCGATTTTCGCATCATATGCTATAAAGATCTATTTTTATACGCAAATAGTAATTTAGGCTCAATAAAACCAAAATAAAACCAAATAAAACTATACAAACAGTGGGTATAGGGTTGGGCGAGATGTTACTCGCCTCTGGTATGCTGACCAACTCCTGAATCCGAGAGAGAAAGATCTCATATGCTGCACCTCGTCAAATCCCGCTGAAATCCTCCGAAAAATCCCCTAAAAATCATTAAAAACGAACTAGGGTTTTGAGGGGAGAGAGAGGCTAGGGTTTCTCTGATAACTGATGGGTTTTCGGGTTGGTTTCGGGTAGGAGAGATTTTATATAAGCGATCAAACCCGAAACAATATCAACCCAACCCGCAAATAAAAGAAAATCTGGAAATCAGCCCGTCAGTCGACTCATAGGTCGACCCATCAGTCGACTCATGAGTTGACTCATAAGTCGACTGAGCAGACACTTATTTCCAGATTCGTGCATGTTTTGTTATTCAGCCAAAACCAATGCACGAACTCTATGAAACCACACTTATACATGACTAGAAACTTGTTACCAAGTATATCCATGACCTTAAGTCATTTACCACAAATAGAACTATTTATCACTAATATTTCACATATACTTCTAACAAAATACGGGGTTTTACATTCTTCCCCCCTTAAAAGAATTTTGTCCTCGAAATTCGGAAATCATAATCAAATCAATACATTACTCTAGATAGGCAAATAACGATATTTATATTTAACAATCCAGAATAACCATATTCTCACTTAACCCTTAATCAAATGGAACTAGTACGTCGGGCGAAAAATCTAAACAATGAACACCCCATATATATACCATGTGTTCCATGAGATTAGGAATTAAGTGAAAATATCCTCATTCTGGGGTTAAATCTAAATATAACTACACATATAGTCACATACATAAATCAATCCGCTTCCTCAATAGGTGCAGGAAGTTGTGCGTCATAAATATCTACGCTCCCGAAAATTATCTCCGATGTCTACACTTAACCATCTAAAACGTAAATATTCCCACTTAACCCTTAACTAAAAGGAACAAGTACATCGAGCGAAAAATCCAAACAAGGAACCCCTCATATATATACCATATGTTCCAAGTACTTAGGAGATAAGTGATAATACTCTCATTTTAGTGTTAAGTATAAACATCGTCATACATGCAAATCGTAAATTATATATATAAGTCATACACAAATTCATTTTACCTGCTCAAACATGTGTGGGTAGTCGCGATGCATGTCCTCCTCGTGCTCCTAAGAAATCTCCTCAACGCCTCTTCGGTTCCACTGGACTTTCACCAAAGGAATTACCTTGTTTCTAAGCCTCTTGTCCTCTCTGGAAAGTATAGAAACTGGAATCTCAATAGTAGATAAATCATCCTGAAGCTCAATCTCAGGTG